CCCTGGAGGTGTTCAAGGCCAGGTTGGACGGGGCTCGGAGCAACCTGGGCTGGTGGGAGGTGTCCCTGCCCAGGGCAGGGGTTGGCACTGGGTGGTTCTTAAGGTCTCTTCCAACTCTGACCATTCCCTGATTCTACATGTCTGTCTCCGTGGGGCTGGAAAGGGCCATTGGTGCTGTGGGGCTGGATCGTACCCTCCCATGGCTGGGGCTAACCCCGGCGCAGGCTGCTGGAGGGGCTCTGCAGCTGGAGTGCTGTGGGCAGAGGGCACTCAATCAATGAACTCTCATCGGGGTATTGAGGATTTCCCCCCCCAAAAGCATTCTCAGGGAAAGCAAAGCCAAAATTCAGTCTTTGTGCAGCAGCAAACAGCCGTGTGAGACGCGGTGACAAACAGGAGCTCAGAGGCGGTTTTTTGCGAGCTGAACACCCCAACCTGGCTGTGGGGTGGCTTCAGTCTGGGGTAACAGGCACCAGCCTTGCTCGGAGAGCGGAGAATGAACAGCTGAGCCGTGAATTAGCCGACGAATGCCCAAGAGGAGCAGTTGCCCCTGAGCTGGCTGCTGCTGCTTCGTTAGGTCGAACGGCAAACGAGCAGGGCTGGGCTGCGAGCGGATGGGTGTGATGGGGCAGGGCACCTGCGCGGCCGGTTCCCAGCGAGTGATTTAACCAGCTGGGATGGGGAGAGATGGGCAGAGCACCAGTCTCCACCCCACAGCTCCTGCCCCGGGGAGCCCCGCTGTGAGCCGGAGGGTGTCAACTCTACAACCTGAAGATAACAGTTGGTGTTTCCCCTTGTTGTTATTTTAAGCCTTTGCTTGGGATCTCTTTCCGATTTGCAGTTAAAGGGGAGCAAAAATACATGTGACCTGTCTAATTCCCCTGTCCCCTTGCAAACTGTGGGGCAGTCGGTGGGTTTGATGCCAGCTTTAAAGATGAGATAACAACTGGGGGGGAAGATAAAAATCTGTGTGAGCAGCACAGTGATGGATGTCTCCAAATCCTGGGGCCAAAGAGTGGGGTTTGCAGGTTTGACCTGTCTTTTGTAGGATGTTATAACCTGTGGGTTATATATAGTCATATAGTTTGGGTTATTTGGACTCTTAAAATAACATTTGCTGTTTCTCTGGTGCTTTTCCCCTGCCCCAAACACCTTCCGGCCTTGGCTGGACCGCTGCAAACAAGAGGAGGATGGGCACTTCTGCGGTGCTTCCCGATGATGCCGGCGGTGCCCTTGCTTTGGGATTCGGGGAAGTTTGGAGGGACGCTGACCCTCCGGATGGGCCCTTCCCGCACCCCGCTTGCACCGTGGCAAACAGGAAACGTGTGAGCACCGGCAGTTGAGTGTAACCCGAAAACGGAAAGCCGCCTTGAGTAAGAGAGAGAAAATGAGAGCTCGGGCGCAGAGCGGGTCGGTGGGCGGCAGCAGCATCCCCAGCGTGGGACCAGCATCCCTCCCGGCCCAGGGATCATCGCTGCCCCGTGCACCCTGAAACTGAGGGTCTCTCTCTGGACACAGGAAAGGTAAGCTTTGCTGGGCCAGGGATAGCTCATACATCACCTTAAAAAGTAGAAAAGCAAAGAAAATAAGGGGGTTTTCTCACTGGTGGTGAGCTGGGGGGGATTTTTTCTTGCTGCCTGTGGGGGGATTGTGGCTGGGGGCGCCTTTTTGTGGGAGCTGCGTGGACTGTTTAGGAGGGGAGGCAGGTCGCTGGTGATGCTCAGGGGGGACCCCACTGACCCGGGGGGTGCACAGTTCCCATCCCAGCCCCCCTCCTTGTTCTGCACTCCCTTTGTGCGGTGGGCTCAGCTCACCCCCCCGGGGCTGGGGCAGGTAACTGGGGGCTTCCCAATGCCTTAAACAACCCCACCTGCCCCCCAAAGCTCCCACTTCTGCTGTTTTAGGGGCTGGGACCACCATAAAGACACTGGGTTCCCGCCCCCCCTTGTTGTCCTGTGGGACTCCAGCTACTCCACATGACCCTCTTGCTTTAAAGGGAAGGGGATGGTTTTGGGGCTTATTCCCACGTTTCCACTGCCCCCTGGGATTTAGCAGAATCGCTGTTTCATATCGCAGAAGGAAGGGGGCAGGGGGCACGAGCAGCCGGGGGGGTTCCCTGGACCAGGAGCGGGAAGCGGGGCTGCCGCCGGCTCGAGCATAGCCCCAGCTCTGCGTCACCACTCTCCACGGCTGTGGTTTCCTCTGCTCAGTATTTTGGCTTTGTCACGCAGAGAACAACCCCTCACGGGGAAGGCACGGTGGCTCTTGGCGATGCCGTCACCCACTCAGAATGTGGAGAGGGGAGCGGGTGGGGGGTGGTCCTGAGCTCGGGCCCCACAAGCCGGGGCGAGCGACGAAAAACTCCCCGAGGTCTCGCGCAGCTCTCCCCGGAGGTGACTCACAGCTGTGAAAGCCGGGGGAGGAATTTTAAAAGCTGCTGATGAGCTCCGAGAAAGCAGGTGGAACCACCACGTCTTGCCCAGACCTCTGGCATTGCCTTCTTTGCCGCTGTCACCTCCTGGCTCTGTCACCTCCCAGGCGGCCCCTGAGCCCCAGCGGTGCCGGTGCCCTGAGCATCCTCCATAGCGGGGCTGGAGCATGGGGAGATTTGGGATGGGCACTTGGCCAGGGGCAGGAGAAGCCACTCGCCCAGTGGGTGCTGGGCTCACAGCCGGTGGGGACGGCCGTTGCTCGCTGTGGGTCGAGGCTCCGTTTGCACCACGCAACCGGAGATAAGCGCCTCTCTTCCTATTGCCAAACCCGGGGGGCCATTCACACCACCCAAAATGAATTTCCAGCTCAGTCCTGCTCCGCCGTCTCCCACCACGCCGCAGCAAAGGTCTCTGGGAAGGAGAGAACCAGCTGAGGATCAGCACCCCCCAGTTCCCCCCTCGCCTGGACCGAGCCGGGAGCCATGGCCGAGCGCCGGGCGGGCACCAAGGGC